CTGAAATAACAACAATGAAAACCTGAGTAGAGTAGTGAGTAGAGCCTATCGAATTATCAAAGCGCTTCAGAGAATATCCGAGTGTCATAGCATATCAGAGTATCACGGCTTATCAGAACTAATCAGCGAATCAGAATTTATCATATCAGAGTATATCATAGTACCTTATCGTATCAAAGCTTATGAGAGAGTATCAGATGATTGCATATTACAGTATCAGACCGCATTATAGTTTCGGAGTACCACAGAGCATCAGTATGAGTAAAAAAATCACAGTATCAAAGAATATCAGACTATGAGAGCGTATCTGAGTGTCAGAGCGTATCAGAGTATCAAAGTCAATCAGATTATCAGAGTATCAGAGTACCATAATCAAGTAGTATCAAAATCAGCGTATTAGAGCATATTTCTAATACTATGCTTTGCACTGATAGCCTGTGACATTCTGACACTGATATATCGATTTGATATTCTCTGGTAGTCTAGTATCAGAGTGTTCATCGGTTGTTTTCAATTTCCCTGCTTGCTTTTGCTTGATATGAGTTAGATTATAAGAGCATATCAATGTTGAATGCGATAAAAAAGATTTTCACGAGAAGTTCCAATACAATGCAATCAATCTCATAACAATTAGGTCAAATTAAAACTGCCATATGTTCTATTTAATAAATGCTAATGTCTTACAATCGGAAAACTACGTCACACGGTCGGTGGGTCACACGTGTACGTGTAGCATCATGACGCCCTCTATTTTCATTTATTAAAATGATCGCTTAAACATTTACATATCGCATGTCGTGGCGTATGCCATATGTTAGTATATTGGTCCTATATTTTACATAAAATATTCCAACCAAAGGGTATAAATAAATATACATTAATGGTTCGAGTTCGCATGTTTGGCGACATGTTAATTTATCGGGATTTTGATATGGCCAATTCCGCCCATCAAACTAATATTTTATCCACAGGAACTAAAGTTCCATTACAAATTTGGAATAGAAAAAATATTGATCTTCTTTAAAATTGAATCAGAATTTGCTTGTGACATTTTTCTACCCCATAGATAAGGTTTAACGGATAAAGAAAACTACTAAAAAATTTTTATATCTACTGCAGTATACAATGATAATCGATACTATTATTTCGAAAACCCTTATCGGCGTAAAAAGGGGATCGATTTTAACCTCTCACCCGATGAGCAATCGAAACAGTTGAATATCGCACCGGGGAGGATATACGTTAGTATCGAAAAGCCCCGTACATATGATGGTACCAGCATCCATGTTTAATAACTATACCGAAATATAGCAGGTATACTGTAGATCGTTGCGATAAGTATCTGTCGTTTTAGAAGTATCCTTGAGGATGGATGTACTATTGAAGGTTAGTTAGTTGCTAATTATGTAATTATGCAAGAAAATACTTTGTTTCATTGATACACTCCAACATTACCTTGCGGTATATCCTACGTATTCTTTGAAACTGCATTTTCAAAATAAATAATATATTTTTTTAATTGGCAGTTGTCCGTCTTGTGGTTATCAAATGTTATCAGAACCGAACCACGGGATGACCCGCAAGAATTTCAATTTAATGAAACAGATGTCGCAACTTGCCAGACCAAACGATTGTACAGGACAAATTAGACAAAATGGCACTTAGTAACACGAGCTGAGATAAAAACGCGTAACCTACGTATGTGTCTGTGCGTGTGTGTGTACTGCCGAGCATATGTTGACATATCGAATTAATAGCCGAATTGCCCGACAAAAGATATAACGGTGTTTGTTCCATCTGGGAATACGAACCCTTCGAACTTTTGTAAAAACTAGGGTTAACAGCTCATAGTGTTTAATACTGGTTGAAATTTCTATACACTTTTATGTTCGATGCCGATTGCACTGACGTAAATTAAAAATTTTACGATCCGGGATCCCTTCACCAAATCTTTTAGTTTATTTTTACATGTTTATGTTCACGGGATTAAGGGGAATCCGTTTGTTCGAAACCAATAAACAGCAACTGCTCGATTTTCTAAATAAGGCGATGTATTTTCACATATTCATCGATTTATTTTGGGTTCGCTCCTAGCAAATATCAAACATCAATTAGTCAGCATTCCTCTATCAACTTTATTTTTTTAGATGTCCTCTTTCTAGATAGAAGGATGAGAATTTAATGAGGAAGACCTTTTTATTGATAATAAGAACAATAATAATAATAATAATAATGACTTTATTGGAACAATATGAACAACAAAAGTTTCGCGCAAGTCTAGCCTTGAACACAAACACAAACATAGTTTAACAATACTACGTTAATTCTATAAAAAAATTATCTAGGGAAATTACTAATTATACCCGTAGAAAAAAGTTAAAGAAAAAACAAATTATCATATATACATTATAGTAACGTTGGAGAGGAATTAATTGGTTTTATAACATTTAAGACACAGTGACTTGTAGGTACTATTAAACTGGTTGGGAATTAAATTGAAATACTTTACGGCGTTGTATGAAAATGCCGAGATATATATGGTTCTGATCTCATTCATTTTGAGTCATTTTATATCATTGTATCAGTGCGATACTTGATCAAATTTCCTCAAACCATAGACAATACTTGTATTTTGTACTATCTGAACATGCTTCTCACTTTCCTGATCCATAAACATCCATAAACCATAGACAAAGTCACAATAATTGAAAAATGAAACACCCTGTATATACAAAGTTAAAATAAATTGAAGTTTTGTAATACCCCAATTAACTTTTGGCTCTATCCCCTATAGTTTCTGAGATAAGGTAGTGGCCCACCCTGTACATTACGTTAGGAGAAACTGCTATATTTCCCCAAATATGACCGTTTTAATTTTTATCAAAATTAGTTCGTTGCTCAGACCCACCTGTTACCGAATCAGAAAGCTTAACCGAATTAGTTTTCACCACAAAAAGCTCGGCGGCCGTAACTAACGCCATTATAATAAAACTATCATTAATTCACCCCTAAAAAGTGGCTGAAATCCGCTAAACACTAAACAATGGCCTGATGGGTAAATTGAAACGATGACAATGCGTTGCGTATAGACCAAAAAAAATATCCGTCATTATGGTTTTACCCGGTTATTCAAAAGGTTGGCCGGGATATATGCGTATGAAAAGCAACACAGGGGGGTCTTCACACAGTCTATATGGATCATTTCACACAGGTGCATGCACGGATCATATTGTCGCGACATCCCATTTCCCCCTCCCTAAAGTTTTTTTTTCAAATGTAGTAAATGTGAACCCAAGTTATAGTCAGGGAACTGCGTTATTATAGTATTTACAATCAACGGTCTTGCAAATTTGGACCCCGTTGTCGAAAAAATATATATATCGGCGTTAATAATGCGGCTTGGAAATACGCCAGGCTTCTGGTACGGCTACTAAAATTACCGCACATCACCAGCGGGCACCAAAACATTGCAAGAAAGTGTTTAAAGAAACTCAAATTGTGAGGTTAGTTATTATCGGATATTTTGAAATTACATTCCTTTGGCTATAATTTTCAGTACACGGTGAAGACAGAGAGAACGATAATTTTGGCGTTTTAGGGAGACGCGAAAAGAAGGCGACCTACCGCAATACCGTATGCGTTTTGGGCGCACCAGATTGTCACGTCGATAAACGAATGATAAGAATCGCAAAAGGAAATTACACACGCACCCTTTAATTCGAAAAATGTAACGCCGATACCACAAACATTACGATTAACAATTTTACATCAAACCGACGAAAATTTAATATCAAACAGGAAAACTATCATTTGTCAGAAAAAAAGAACGTTTTTAAAATTTAATTATTTCTACGAATTCCGAACACTTGCCCAAAATATATCGGAATTATATGTAAATACGGTCGGGTGTGTTTATATAATCTATTTTAAATTGAATCCAACCTCCTCTGTGAGAACCAACGGCGAACACAAATCATAAATCTTTCGTCTCGAATTCCGTTTTTCGGACGGATTTTTATTAGCCGGTGTCATTATTTCCAACGAAGTTATCTATTTTTGGTACACATTTGGCAAGTTTTTATTTATTTATTCATTTATTTATTTATTTATTTATCAAAGAGCCAACCGCCCAATATAAAATTAGATTCACATAAACAAAATAAAATAAAATAAAACAGAATGAAATGGATAGATGAAGACCTTGGTTTTGGTTTTCCAAAATGTTAATATTAATATAGTTAGTCGACACGACAGTGAACAGTAACGAGGCACCAACACAATGTTATACACTACTATTCCGAACTCAGACGACGGAACAGTTTTACTGACAGTCTTCAAGTTCTTTCTTAAATATTCTTACACTCTGGAAGCAGTCAAGTTAGTCCGAAAATCGATTTGCTAGTAAGAAAAGAACTCTGCCCATAGTTAGTACGATGGAACTCCACCTGGAAGGAGTGGTTTATTCTGGTCTGGCAGGGGGGAACGCGAACCCCAATCTTACATAACAGCTCAGGTCCTTGAGAATTTGAATACAGTAGATTATAAAAAATGGTAAGATCCCGATGCATGCGACGAATCTGAAGAGTTGTAAGTTGGAGAGAGTTTCTAGTAATCGACGTCCTCAAGTCCTTGGTGCTCCTTAAATCCTGTATATCGCAGGAACCTATGCTGGCCTATATGTAGACGTTATACGAAGGTGACCACACACAGGAACAATAATCCAGGTGTGGACGCACCAGGAAGCGGAATAGTAATCTTGGAAGTCCACTGTACAACGCCTAATAAAGCGCAAAATCTGAAGTGACACATATAATAAATGAAACATGGTGTGTGTAAGTCAATTTAATATCGAGTAACACTCCAAGATTCCTTATTACGGAGGTCTGCAATAACGGTGACACTTTTAGGTTACAAGTATAATGTATGGGGTTTCTGTCCCGGTTGAAGTTCATTAGTTGCCATTTATTAATATTTAAAGTTCAGAGTTCGCTGACGACTGT